AAGGTAGCCCCGATTATTGCTGACTTAAGCATCGGAGTGTCTACCCCGAGTTCCACCTCGGGGCTTTGCAGGTCATTCCGAAGTGCAAGCGCGGACTGAAGAAGGACTTCGGGTTTGGTGCAATTACACTTTCTGATGCGGATAAAATGAAATATGGATGATAACTATTTGATACAAGGGAAATCTAGTAGAAAATGAAGAAAGATTTCCAATATATTCCTTGATATATTACTCTGAAGCCCAAGGATTACAGCTTTTTTCACAAATAGAAGATTACAGAGGATGATAGAGGATGATAGATGATCAAAGAACAACTCTCAAAGGAACAGCACACAGTCTCTACCTACACTAAAAGTACAACAAAGAAATGAGTAAAAACGGCAACACATGCTAAAGACATACTTCCCCTACGGCAGCTTCTTCAACCTCGAAGAAATCTAAGAATTCTCAGAATTTGAGTTATGATTCGCAGCCATTGCAGCAAGTCTTTCCGACCTTCGAGGAGGGGCGCCGTCCACAGTTCTCGCAGTAAGTCTTGGCGACCTTCGAACAGGAGCCATGTTATCGTGAGCTCTTTGAGGGGCGTGGGCTGCAACTGGTTTTGTATTGGCACCTCCTGCATGCATTGCAAGTAGGGTTGCAGCTGCCTGCAACCCTCCTTGCAATTCAATTAGAGCTGCGGCAGCTTCTTGGACTTGATCTGCCTCATCCATTTTTTTTAGTTCAGACAGGGGAGGGGAAAATCATGTTTTGGGTTTATCAACTTTTCACAGGTCTCACTTTTCACAGACTCTCATTCTTCATTCCTCATTCTTCCACGTTTCCATTCCTTTCCCATATTTTGGGTTTTATCGACTTTTCATATTTTGGATACTCTCATCCTTCATTCTCCACTTTTCCACTTTCCCATATTTTGGGTTTTATCGACTTTTCACAGTTCCTTTCCGTCATATTTTGGGTTTTATATTTCTAACCCTCGTCCGTTCTTCTCTTTGCTCGAATTCTCTATCCGGTTCCGGCACAGGTTCTCGATTGCCGCAATGTTCGATGTGTATCATCCTCAGTTCTTAGATTAATTTGCTCCAACTTTTCCTTTTTAATTACTTTAATTTATTAATTATGTTTTCTGATTCTTTTTTCGTTTTGAATTTCTGACTCGTAAAATTCATTACTTTAGTTACGTTCTCTATAATTTCTTTAAAAATTAATCATCTAGCAATAAAAAAAAAAAATTCCAATACAGTCTTTTTGATTTTATCAAGCTGAATCCAAAAAAAAAAGAGAGGTGATAAATTAGATATTTTTGAGGAAATTTATGATCTTCATCTCCAAATGGAAAACAGATGAAGCGGGCAAGGAAGAATGTTGGTGGTGGTGTGGACTGGATTTCCTTCCTAGTTGCCCGAATCCATTATTCATCGGATTATGGCACTCCTTTCTCCCAGAGAGATTGTTGGAACCAGTGTTTTGTCCAAAACATGATACCATTTCACAGCATCATATCCTGTCTTGAAATTTAATGAAATGCACTTTGGTGATGAAGAACATCATACCAACCTCGACAAGTTTAGACAAGTTATTTATAATTCTTTGAATCACTTTAGCCTGAATAAGTCAGGATTGGTCTCATTTTCTATTGACTTAATCTCACATTCAGTTCTTTCCTCTTATATTTATAGTTGGATAAGATTAGCCTTAGAGAATGGGGTCAAAAGTTTACATCCCCGTGTCCAAACCATACCAATGTTGGCAGTTCCAGCATTTTGCCCCAACCACTATTTTCTTCCAAAAAATTAACTTATCTAAATTTAAAAAGGTGTGTTTTGGAGCAGCCCTTACCCATATTCAGTCCATTTGGAAGTTGTCTTTAGTTTTTTACCATAAGAAAGGCTCCATATTTTTGAAGAATGATGACTGCCCTTCCCTTGAGCATTTAGTTCTCAAATCCTGTTTGGGTGTCAAATCTTTCCATATTTCTAATCTTCGTCATCTCCACATTCTCAATGTTTCTTTTGGCTGTTATTCATTTGAGTTAGTGGTTGCATCTCAGAGTATCCAAACTTTGTACATTTATGCCATGTCCAAACCTTGGTCCATTATCAACATTGATGGTTGTCGTCACTTGAAATTATTATATTTGCTGTCTATGACAATTACTGACAAGGAGTTACATTCCCTTCTTTCGAAACTAACCCTGATTGAGGAACTTTATCTTAACTATTGTCATCATCTCAAAACAATAAAGATTTCAAATCCATGTCTTAAAACTGTTATCTTTGTCTGTGCTGTATCTAGCCACCTTCACATCTTAGAAATTGCAGCACCAAGTCTGGAAAACTTCATGTTTTTGGCTGATTCAAGAGTCTGTAGGATTAATGTGACAGGTTGTTGCAATTTGAAAACCTTGGTGTTGAAAAAGCATATGGGCCCAGAAGCAACTTTTCATGATCTGTTCTTCAAATGTCCTTCGCTTGAGAATCTCTGGCTGGTACAATGTACTGAGTTACAAAGGCTACAGCTCCTGAATCCTCGACTTAAGAGGGTGCATGTTGTTAGATGCTGTAAATTGAATGCCGTGAAGGTTGATAGTCCAAATTTGTTCGAGTTTTCTTGCACTAGTCTCGAGGCACCCAGAATTACAGTAGTTGGTGCCATGAAGGCATCCAGTGGTGTGAGGTTCGACTCTGAACATGGCAGTCGTCATTGGTATTATAGATTGAAGGAAATGCTGGTATATTCTGTTGGACAAGATTTTGTCAACTTAACTAGTTCTTTTTGAACATCCGTAGCATTTTGGTGGATTTCATTTTTCTTGTTTTTCATATTTGGATAATCTGACCATGATCTATGGCAAAATATTCAGATTCATTTCTATATTGTATTTGTTGTTGTTATATTGTTTGATGTCCTAAAACTTGTTTAGGCTTGTTGTAGCCATCATGAATTTACAGTTCTGGTAGGGGATGTTCCTTCTGCAGTCACTTGCTAATACGCCTCAGCTTTAAAGTGCCTTTTGTATATTGTGAAATCCAGTTAGCATTTTTCAATCCAAAAGAATTAATTAATTCTGCAAAGTCTGTCTTTGGTGAAAGCACCCCGTTCCAATATAGCAAGGCCCTCCATTGCCATCAAATCCTAGAAAGGTTCGCCTTGATTCAGGTATGTCAAAACATTCCCTTCTTATTAGCTTAGTTTGGATATTCTTGAATTCATTTACTTTATTAACACTTTACCTCCATTATTACTCGCAGGGAATTGCTGTAGATTTCATTCTTAGCAAAGTTTAATCGATTTCATACGTAAGCAATCTTGTATCCTTTCTCTTCATCCATAAAAATGGCAAAGAGCATCTTTGATTGACTCAAAATTATTGGAATACATGCATGCTGCAGTCAACATTAAGGATTATTGATCCATTACTTCCTTTAAGACACCCTTATCTTTCCATCCTTTGTTAAAGATTGTTGAAGTATGTTTCCCTTATAAGTGTGAAGAATTAAGATCCCACATTGAAA